CCCTGACTGGCTCATCTCCTCCCCGAGACCCCTCTGCAAGGGGGTCTCCAGTAAGGCCAGTTTATTTAGAAGGGTTTCCAAATCAGATCCTTCTGATGTGACCTTTGAATAATGCTGCACACCTTGAGAAACCCAAATCTCAAGTCCACATGGCCTATAGCACACAGCTGGATTGTCAAGGCAGAAAGGAAATTCAGTCAAAAATGCATGATGAGCAATGTGCTCCCAGGTAGATTCTCCCCCTGAATGCAAGTAAAGCTAAGCATTTTCTCCAAGGCAGGCTGCCCCTCCCTAGTTTATCCACTAACAGCAGTGAAATCACCAGCTCCAAAGGCAGACCTAATCCTCCTTTTCTGGTCCTCAGTTTCTATTGAGGTTCACCGAATGCCACAGTAGGAATGTCTATTAAATTGGGGGGAGTTTGGGGCAAGCTATTTGGCAGGGACTATATGATCCTCTTCCTGTTCCCGCTAAAGGAAAAAAACTCACCCCCAGAGAAGATGGGGCCTTCTCTGAAGAAGTGGTTTGTTTCAATTTAATAGTTTTATTAACATATAATTCACATATCACACAAGTCAATGGTTTAAACATATTAAGAAGAATTGTACAAGCACCAACACAATCAATTTAGAACATTTTCTTGATTCTTGTACTGTTGTACTTGTAGCTTCTCAGTCCCACTCCCCAACCTTTCAAGAATAGTGCTGGGATCTGAATGGCAATCTCATTTATTTATAGATTAAAGCAATACTGACATATTCCCTATATTAATTCTTCCTGTTAGTGAATACGGGACACACTTCCATTTATGTCATTCTCATTTGCTTCCCTATAGTAGTGTTTTGTAATTTTCAGCCTACAAACGAGGAAGTGAGAAATGGTTCATATGCACTAGACAGCCATATCACAACGTTGCTTTGGAGACCAGATTACATGATTACATGACTTGAGAACAGACGCCAGACTGTGTCTGCAATGTTTCTCCAGATTGCAGTGGTCTCATACAAGATTTGTCCTTTTGAGATCGACTCACTTCGCTCAGCATAATGTTCTCCAGGTCCATCCATGGGTGACCGGGATCGTAAAAGCTAGTCACACCTAAGGTGCAACCTATTAGTGTCTAGACAGACACTGTCGTGATCG